ACGGGCACCCCGGGGCCCCCCCTGCGCCCCCATCCACGACCACGACTGGTTTTGAAATGATCACTTGCGATTTGAGGCCGGAGGTGATCCCGAGACGCCAGGCCACGCAGCAGCGGTCGCAAAGCTGCTCCCAACACCAGCCGCTGGCTCAGTTATTTCCCCCACCCTGGTGACTGGGAAATGCCTGGCCAAGACGCACAGTGGAGAGAAGTCTGCAGGCAGCCGCAGTAATTTTTCCAGATAAAGGTGTCAGGCGAGACGTCTCCCCAGCAGCCCACGGCTGTTTCTGCGCAGGGCTGGCACCTGGCTGGGGCGGATGAAATCCCCTCCTGCTCTGCGCATACTGGTGGGGAAGGGATCCCCAGCTCCCAACAGCTGCCGGCCGCTATTTTCGGTTGTGCTGAATGATTTATCAGCCCTTGGTTGCATTCACTCACTAAGATAAATCCTGAGCTGCAGCAGTTAACGCTGGCAAAGATAAAGCACAATTGCTTGCAGTGAAATGAGCCCTGGCCGGTGGGAAAGTGATCCTCCAGCCCTCGCTGGGGGTTGCATTTCTCTGCTCTTGTGTGAACCTGGACTATAAAAGGTCCTGTGCATCCATCCTCCACAGGATATGGAGCTGCCTCTGCCCAGGAGACGCGGAGGTTTTGGAGGCACAAGCCCACGCCAGCAGCAGGGCAGGCACGGCCGCTGCCCATCTCGCAACCCTCACTTCCACCCTCACCAGTGACAGCCTGACAAAGCTACTTTAAGAACTCCAAAGCAGATCTCTCAGCAATAATGAACACCTCCCCAGTGCAGACTGCTGCTGCTTTCTGCTAAATGCAATGCAAAGCCACTTTTCTACTAAAAATTCCCCCTTGGAGGCAACTCCCCCAGGGTCTGGGCAATTCCTCCATCGAGGCACTGGGAAGACGCTGCTCCCCAGTGCCCCGCGAGTGCCCACACAAGAGCGCAGCAGGGTTTCCATCACAGACATGAGCTCAGCTTTTGCTGGTCTCCGTTCCAGCGCCACAGGCTGAAACGCGACGTCTGAGGAACTCCGGGGTAGCACTCGGGCGGAAAAGTGCCCTTGGTCCAGGGCCATGGGACCGGCAGAGCCCATTTCCCAGCTCTGCCTCAAGCTCCACAGCGCAGACTGTCCCCGGGCTGGCGAGACAGCCACGGCCACCGGATCACCCCGCTCCCACCGCCCGGCGCTGCGGGGGACCCCTCTGTCCTCGCTCGCTCACAATGTCCCACCGCAGCTTCTACATCGTGCCTTAAAGGGTTTACAAGCAGCAGGGGCCACCCAGGCTCTGCAGAGAGCAGGCATAGGGCTGCACAACAACCGGCCGCTCCCTCGCCCCGTCCGTTCAAATCCCGTTCACGCCTGTCCCTGCGATTCAAGCTCAGCTTGGGCAAAATCTCCTCTTCCAGCCCTCCCCCACTGCTCCTTCCCCTTTGTGCTTCAGGGAAGCCCCTTCGATGAGCGGGGACGTGGCATGGAAGGACACACAGCCGAATAACGGGGGAGGCATCGAAGGCAGACGGTGCACGCCAAGGTCTGACCTTGCGACATGGAGGAGACCGAGCGAGGCTTGGGATAAATTAATGTCTATTGTGCTGCTGTTTCTCTCTGAAAGCAAATCAAAATCTAATTACAAAATACAATGGTGAGAGAGACGTCTGCTCCAAGAACGTTAATGAGCTGAGGAGGGAAGATTTGGAATTGCAATAAACAGGGCTGATGTGAACAGCTGAGACAGACAGGGCAGGGCACCAGGGGCTGCTGGCACAAACGGACCGGCGGGCAGCCAGGCCACCGCGTTCTCATTCCCCTCTGTCCCTGCGCTGCCTATGGTGGGAGGAAGCCCAGTTAAAACCAACCTTAGGACCAGTTTCCCCCAGCACTCAGCCCGGTATCTGCTGCAGATGCTCCCCTCACCAGTCACGTTCCAGCAATATGACTCCGTGTAAGAAAAAAAAAACCAACAAATCAAATCAAAAGTCCCGCTTGTCACCTCGTTCTCTCCATGCTGCGGCTCCACGGTGGAGACCGGCACAGCACGGTCCAGCTTGCGGCCACCCGCATCACCCAGCAGCCGGGCAGGGGAGACCCTGGCAGGAGCCAGCTTGCAGCCCCAGGGTTTTGTTCTTCCCGGCTGTGAAACACAACGGCAAAAGCTCTGGAGCTGAAGCGGAAGGAAATCCTCTCTGCAGGGTTTTGGCTGGCAGAGGTGGGCTGCTCTTTGCTCCCTTGAGCAGCTCCACAGCCAAAGCCCCGGGGTGAGGGACCAGGGCCAGCCCAGCTCCATGTCCTGGCCCCCTTGCTCGCTCCCGTTTTCCTCCTCTTACCTCCCTGGTTGCCCAGCACTGGCACTGTCGCTCTTTGCGATTTCCTGCTGTAGCAGCCCGACCGACGGCGAGCTGAGCATTTCTTTCATTTGAGGGGAAAGCAGCGTACGGCTGGCACGCACACCCCGCTCGGAGCACAGGCTGCCTCCTCTCCTCCTGACACACACACAGGCTGACAGGCTGGATCCTCCGCAGCCCACATCTGATAGGAAAACATTTAATTTGAGCAGAACTGAAGAGTGGTTAACATGATCTATGGAGAGCAAAGCCCCAGGGCCCGGAGCCGACACGGGAGGTAGCCTGGTTGTTTTAGATGTGCAAGTTTCAAAGCAGCGCTGGGCTGGCAGCTTGATTCGATCCCAGGATCAGGGCGAAGCAGCATTTTTCTAAACATACAGATAACAACGCAGGCAGCAAATCATGCAGGGAGGATGCTACAAGACAGACTAGTCTATCAACACTACCAGGATGTCTTTTATAAACCTTTTTTTTCCAGGTGTTCCTCAAATTGTATTCAACAGCCCACAGATGATGCAGAATTCAAGGATGCAGCATCATACCCAGGACTAGGAAATACATCTCCGGGCATTTCCAAGACATATTTTTTGTTTTTTTTTACCATGAGCACGCCCTGCATTACTTCTTACAAGGAGGCTTGCATGTGAGCATCTCAAGATATTTCATAAACCATTTTCTCCCTGCAGTTCTGTTTTCAGCCAAGCACTCTCCCTTTACCCCCAGGAGAACAGGGCACAGGGCGTGCATAAAGATGGGCGCAGAAACCAGGGGGTCTGCCAGCACCCTGAGCCCACCTTCTGTTACCTGTTTTCACCAGCATTTTTTTCATGCTGTCCTGGTAGGTAAATAAGAGAGCAAGACAAACACATAAAAAGCAGTGAGGACGGTGGGAGTTAAAGTGTTTGTGGGAAAAATTTATGGCACATGTAGAAGTGTATCGTACATGGCCCCTATAAATTACGCCCCCAAATGACTAGCATTGAGTAAGAAACAGCTAAGTAAACACAAAGGTAATAAGAAAAAATAATAATTTCTCTCTCTCTCTATGGAGAAGGGCTATTTTTCCATTTGTTTATAGGAAAGGTGAGGGGTGGGGTGGCAGCCTGGGACGTTGACTCGAAGTTCAGGGCCCCTCTTGGTCCCCAGTCTCATCTGTCACTGGAAGCGGGACAGCTGCCAGATCCGCCGCACATGACAGCCTGGGTCTCCTACCCGCTGCCTTTGCTTTGGCTGCTACTGTTCGCTCGAAGGCAGCCGGCAGCAAGAGCAATCTCGAGCTCAAACGTCTTGCAATCCCGATAATTAAGAAACAAGCACTTCTGAAAAGCCCCAAATTGAGACAGAGTTCCCACCAAACACAAAAACTGTTTAAATCTGCAGGGAAATTGAAATAATTATATTTTTTTGTTTAATGCACACAATGAGGTATTAGTATAGTTTCTCTTTTGTTTTCAGTGGTTAATCCAAAAGGGAACCTTACACAATCAGACCAAAAAAATGATGGAAAACAACAGAGCGTTGGTTAGCACTGTAACGGACCCAGGGGAGCGAGGGCTTCAGCAGCTTTGCAGGCAGTGACCTCCTCGGGACTCGCCAGCACCAGGACATCCCCCAGGCCAGCAAGAGCCTTGTAAAAAATGACCACAAGATCTGCAAACACCTTCTGGTGCCCACTGCTGCCGATACACCCACCGGATGGGAAACCTGCTCACTGCGCAGCGTCTTTCGAAGCACAATAGCTCATCCGTAGCATCACTGCTGACACTTCATTACAAAAACCTCCACTCAACACAGCACTTGCGTCACTGCAAAAACTCAGACGATTTAAAAGCAACTACTTTCTTCCAGTTACTCCAGTGATCTCAGGAGAGGGTGCACCGGTTACCACACTTTGAGTCTGGCCCTCCCTACAGCCACATCCACCTCGGCGTCTCGGAGCCAATGGTGTTGAATCTCAGCCTGGCAGTGCTCCTGGTTTGCACCCCAAGGAGGATTTTCATGCAAAGGTTACGCAGCTGCACAGCTAGAAAGGCAGTAACCACAGCTGCGGCATCTGCTCGCAGCCCATGCTGCCAGGGCAGCTCTGGGCTTTGCACCCAAGACAGGCAACCAGCTCTGCTCCGCAGCTCGGAAGGGCGGCACGGCTCGAGGGGTTCACTCCATGACCGCACTCAGGTCAGAATACGCTGAGAGCTAACCAGACCCTGGAAGAGCAATCCCCGCCAGTGACAGCCCAAAGTCATCCCACTCCTCCTCGGCTCTTGGGGTGGAAGGGGGTCCCACAGCCCCAGAGCTGTGGTGATCCGAGCCAGCGCTGGCTGCCCTGCGGGGAACGCTGTCGGACCGACCTGTGGCACTGGCAGGATGGACGTAGGGGGACAGGCTGCCTGGAAAACGCTCTCCTGCGAGCGCTTCTCCTCCTCCCGCTCCCCAGGCTGACTCTCAGCCCCTACGCAGAACAGCTGCAGGCTGGGAACACACAAACCTGCCCGACAGCGAGCCACTGGTGTCTACACGGGACAACGGAACTGCGAGTCCCGCACCTGCAGTCCTCACCCACACACGTTAACAACCGGAGCAGAACGAAGCCGACCGCAGCTCAGAGCCGCTGACATCTCAACCGCAGCACAGGCCAGCAGGCGGGGGGCTGGAGGAGCCGCTTCCCGCCCGGCTGCCCCTTTGCGGAGGGGCTTTCCCTCAACAATGGGGACGGGCGGGGCGCGGAGGCGGGGGGGGGATAACCAGTGCTGGAGGGGGCCAGGCGGACGGGGCCGAGGGGATGCAGGGTTTGCAACACACCCCCACACATGGCGGGCCAGGTGCAGGGCGAGCGAGGGAACCCGATCCGTCTCGCAAAACCCAGCACCCAGACGCAAGAGGCCCCCGTCTCCAGAGTCATCGACCGGGAGGAACGAGACAGCAGGATGCGGCTCCCTCTTCTTCGTTTCAACTCCGGAGTGGCACGTCTTGCAACCGCTGAACTAATTAAAAAGATGAACAGGGATGGTGATAAATCAGTAGCAAGGTCAAAAGCTCCAGCTACATCCTGGCTTGACCGACGGAAGACACAAAATATATAGTTTCACGGAGGGGCAAGGGCCCATGAGTCAGCACATGGATGAAACACGGCACCGGGAAGGCAGGACGGACCCCTGGTGCGAGCGAGCCTTGGGCACGGCACGAAGGCAGCCGCGGCGAAACCCGAGGCAGCCGCGCGGCGG